TTCGGCTTAAGAGCCTGTAGTTCATACTCCCGAGACCAAGTGGTGAATCGCATTTAAGACAGGTTCTTCTGTGCAGAAAACTAGATTTACACATGCAATTAGCAGCTGCTTTGCCACCATTAATCTCATGTATGAAGGGAGGTGTCCCTATGGGCTCCATCTGCCATTCTTAGCCTTTAAGGTAAAGACCAATATGGGATATTTTCCCCTTCATGGCAAGTTGCAAAGGTTATATCACCTTCAGACAAAACCATCCCCAGGGTTCCTGAGGAAGAGAAACACCCAAGTCTGTCCCCATTTAATTTAGGGAGGTGAAAGGGAAGTGCCCCCTCACCTCTCTCCATATTTACCCAAACCAACCCACCGAAGGATGCGGCCTCCAAAAGAAATGGCAAAAAATAACTAAAATAAAAATAAAATTTTAAATTAACAAAATAAATTTAATAAATTAAATATTAAAGGAAAATAGGTATTAAATACATGCAATTTGAAATAAAAAAAAAAATCAGTGTTTTATTTAAAAATTAATAAATAAATAAAAAGGGAAGCACATACTTCACATGAAACATTTAGTTGGTTCTAAATAACACTTTCTCAGATCAAATAATCTTCAGCTGGAAAAAAGTAAAATAGTTCTGTTGCAAAGATGACAGGATACTGCCAAAACATTTTCTCTCATTTTCTTCTGAGAAAGCATTTTTCAGAAAGTGAGGTCATTTTTTTTAGCCTCGTATCTAAAAAAAGTGCTGTGTGCTGAGCGAGTGCTGCTCTGTTGGAGTATCTTTGACAGGATGCAGCATGGCAGTCTTTCTACAGCTGTGAGTGACTGCAGCAGTTGTACCAGGATAAATGCACACATCTATATACAAAATGCACTCACAAATGGAGCAAAGAACAAAGCAGTTCCTCGGGTCTTTGAAGATTCATCTTGCCTGGAAGCGTAAAGCCCAGTTTGTGTGAGGCAGTGTAGCAATTCTTTAAGACAAGAAATGGATACAGCCCAAACCACAAAAAACACCTTTTATGTGTTAAGTGTTGCTAATTGAAACAATTTGCCTTGCCTCATTTATGTCGAAGAAACTTCCTGCATGTTGTTTCAAAGTCCTTGTAAAATGGCTGTTCCTTCCTCCAGGCTGGATCAGTTCTCCACGCCACAATTCCTCAGTTTTAAAGATCATCACTAAGTTGGATGGAGAAAGCTGTTTAGACTCAAGAAATATATCCTCCTTTTTTTTTGGCTTTGTTTTGTTGTTTTCTGGTTTTTGCTTGTTTTGTTTTGGGGTTTTGGGTTTTATTTTTGGGTTTTTTTTTTTTGGGGGGGGGGGGCTGTTTTTTATTTAGGCTTGGTTTTTTTGTTTTGTTTTGCTTCCAACTTCAAAGTTTTTGGGAAGGCAGATTTGCTCCCACCTTTGTGTGTACCACAGTCTGCAGTTAGATGCTGGTGAAGAGGTGCACGTGGATGAGTGATATTTGGTGTTTTGCTCTCCTTCCTCCCCCCAAAACATTCACAGACTTAAAAGTTTTCCTTGACACACTTACAGGTATCCCAGCACGGTTTCTTCAGAGTAACATGATTTCCCCACACTCCCTGCTCCCCCAGGGTCAAGGAGTTGAAGTCTCACTGTTAGTCTGGTGTTGACAATAAAAACTACTTCCTCATTTCCTACCGGTGCTCTACAAATTTTCCTGTAATGCAACAAAACAGTAACTCAGCTTTTGATATATCTGGAAATTTGACTATACAGAAACATGCTTAAAAACAAACTGAGTATTTTGATAGCTCAAGATTGCCCAAACCTTACAAACTCAGGACCAAGAAGCAAGAGGTGTCTTTTCAGCTTTGCTGGTTTGGGCAACAAAACCCTGAGCTTCTCTTTGGTCTTCAAAAGCAAATTACATTTGGGCCAGGAGTTCTGCAACTGCTGCCCTCCTATGGACACTCACCTTTCAATTAACAGCTAATTAGACTTAGAAGTTTTCATTTTTAGATAAAGACCACTGCCAGGGAATTACTCCAGGGTGGCACAATTGCAGTAAAAATACAAATGATAAGCACTTGCATCTACATTTGTATTAAGTGGCAGTTTTGGAGAAGGCCTAGGGACTGGATGATCCTTGCTACATTTCCCAAGCCTTACAAGAGGAGATCTCATTAATTAAGCCTAGGATCCATCCCCAGCAATTACTGGGATCCTCAGTAGTAAGTATTTCAAACATCACTTTCTATATGCATTAAAACTTGCCCCAAAATAAGTAAATTGATAAATTATATAAAAAACCCCAAAAGAGCAATCAGTATGTACTGATTCCATGAGCTTATATTTAGAGCAAAATGGGCTTCAGACATTGCCATAAGGGTCACTGCTGGGCTGAAGGACTGTTCACAAAATATGCTATTATCCCTGAAAAGAAATGAATTTTGAATTCAATTGTATGTGTCAGCTGGGCATGAATAAATTACAAATATCTTGACCCTACTGAGAAGCTGCTGAACTGTTTATTTTCATATGAAATCTACAATTATTTTACAACCCTTCTCCTCAGTGATCTGAACACATGCCTTTAAAAACAGTCATTAACAGCATATCACTGGCTACACAAGAATAAGGGCATGCAAAGAGAGCAGTTTATTATCACAGGAAACAATATTTCCTAGAAACCCCTTTCTATTGTCCAGGGCAATGGCATAGCTTACCAACAGGCAGACAAAATACTCAAATCAAAATACTTATGCCTGAGTTCACACACACACACAGACAAAAAGGAGATACATTAATTACAGCAGTTGGCAGTAGCATTATTATTTATTTATATATTAAAAAAAAAAAAAAAGTCACAACTTTCTCTTAATGTAAAGCAAACTGAAATCTGTGCCTGAACACTTTGTTTAAACACGCCAAATAAGCACAGTGAAAGTCAACCTCAGACTGGGGACATCTGTAAACTAAGGTTTATATTGCCACTTGAAAAGCTGAGTTAGAACACATAAAAGTATCAGTCAACAAGAATCATATTGTCAATGAACAAGAGGTTGTGAACAAAACCCCAATCTTCATTATGTCTCCTCCATGTTGGTTACAAGGAACATGAACTAAAAATTTCATCTAAGGAACTGCAGAAGTTGAGCTAGAGGGATGAGAAAACCATGAATTTCTTTTACAGACTATTCAATAAAACAGAAGTGAGGAACATTGACCAGACAAGTGCACAACTGGACTACTCTGATAAAAAATGATTTTGGCAATTCAGTTACCTGAGAAAAACGGATATTGCAGAAATCTTTTTATCTTCTCAAATTACATCAAAATGACCCAGTACACTTTGAAATATGTGATCCCAGTGAGTAGCCAGAGATCTAGGAATACGCATTTCTGTATTAAAATTGTTAAAAATGAGCAGGAAGATACCTGAAACAATTAAAGGCACTTTTACCTGGCACGTGTTTTGATATATGCTACAGAAAACTGTGTCAGGTGTGACTTTATACTGAATTGTGTAGTGGTCCAAGCAGTATTAACACACTGTTACATACACACACTTGACCAAATAGTCAATGAGCAACGCCAGCATAGTTAACACAGGAAGAAATCCACATTTTTACTTAATGTAAACAGTAAAGTTTCTAATAAAGGCATTTTAATTTTAAATATATGTTTAGCATCATTGCATGCAATACTTGTCTAAAAGTTTCATGTCACATCTCAGTATCACTAGGCCAGAAACAGTCATGGTAAGGTATTTGGAGAGAAATTCTCCAGTCGTTGAGTCTAGTGCTGCACACAAAATTACAAACACCCTCAGTAAACTGCACAGATGCAACAGATGTTTGTATATAAAAGGCAACCTCATTCCCACAAGGAATCTGACCCTCGTGTTGTCACAGGCACAGAAACTGAGGAGGGCATGCTAACTACAGCACTTAAAATGAGACCTGATTTCAAGAGATACCTTTCAGGGGCAGGAAGACAACTGATTTTTAAATTCTGCCAGAAGTCAAGAACTGTCCCTAACATCATAACATGGTTGCTAAATTCAGACTGATACACCAGGAAAAAATATTAAAACATATAGGCTTTTCTCATGGATTCAATATTTGCATTTCAGAGACACCAGATGCTGTAAAAAGTTTTCTTTACCCTGTATTTTAAACCTTAGTAACAGGTGAAGTTAAAAGCACTGGTAAACAGCTAAATGACTACATCATTATTTCTTTACTGAATTCTTACTCTCATTTGAACCAAAAGTGCAAGGTATTAGTAAAATGTGAATGTCACAGGCACCTGAACAGAACCAAATAAAATAAAAATAAAATAGTCTTTGGTGTAAGCTCACATGGTGCAATCCAAGCATAAAAATATCAGTAAAAAATCAGAGAAAACCCATAACTTATCTTCTGAAGGAGATGAGCCCAAGCTCAAGTGATCATACTGATATACAGGCACAGAACTCTTCCAGGAAGCGTACATGGTCTTTCACTACACTCACATAGCCACTGGCATGCTAAATCTGATGGACTCTCAAGCTGCAAGTGATGCAAAGGACGGTGGCCCCACCTTTGGTCAGATATTAGCAGATCAGCTGGACGTGTGCAACCTGAAGCTGCCTTGAGATAGTGATGCAGTCTGCTTCTTCTAGGAGTCATCAACCAACACTCAGACAAATAATGGCTTGTGAGAGGAAGAAATACTGGACAGAACACTCTCCCTACCAGCAGTGGCCAGTTTTAAGCTGGTGGCTAGGAATTAACTTTCCTGATGCCCTTATAGTACAAAGCAGAAGCCCACCTTTGGCACCTGTTTCACAACCAGTCCTGGAGAGTCCCGACTGGTATTGAGTTTGCTAGGTGTTCACTTTAAAACTGAAAGCTATCAACAGCTGAAGTTAAAAAAAAAAAAAAAGGACAAAAAAACAACTGAAAACACACACATGAAACAAAACAACATAAAAACATATTTAAAAATAACATTTGTCTTCAGTATGTTTTTCTCCTAGGCCACTGTCCTTATACCTGTGTTTCCACAGGAAACTGCTATACCTGGCATAAAATTACTCCACTAAACCACCCATTTCCTTATTTTCCAGCAAGGGCACACTTGTATCTCCTTTACCCTTTTTATTTGCATCTCCACTGTCCTCTGACTGCCCTGATTTCTGATGAGCAAATGTGTAAGTGTCTTGGTCTGTGTCCGTCAGGGGTGGACGTTCCTCCTCGATGTTAGAAGAGTGTTTACTGTCTTTTCTGAAGGAGAATGGAGGTGGAGAAGGTGGCAAGCTAGGTGGCAAGAAGGGTCCATCGAAAGGCCGGTACACATCGACTTCTGGAGCAACTGAGCCATTGGACTCCTTCAGCAAGTGTCCATAGACCACAGCATCATCAATAACTGCATAGACATGAGACTCATTGTTTTGCCTCCCTTTTCTGAAAAAGCCTTTTTTTCCAGGCATCTGGGTATTCACATTAGCATTGTACACTCCCACCATGGGATTCTGGGTTTTCTTCTTCCTGTTACAGAGATGAAATTGTTAACAGGTCAAGAACAATACATCTGGTGTGCTGGAACTCAATAACAACAGCTTCTGTTCACTCATCCCAACCAGAGTGTCAGGAAGCCTACGTAGATTAAAGGCTTTACTTGCAATTTTGGGAGAAATTACTCTTGAGAATGGACATTCTTTTTTAACAGAGCAGAAAACAACTTCACACTCTTGGGTTACCCAGTGCTGCTCTGCCGACCCTGAAGTTTGCAAGATTAACTCCAATGGTCTCCCAGGCACTGGGGAGCACTGGGCTGTGCACTGTACCGAGTCCCACAATATCCACTGGCATTCATAAGACCCAGAGACCATTAGGTCCTCACAAAAACAAGGCTGTGTTACTAAAGACAAGATAATGGGTCAAAATGAAAATCAAATGAATTTTTCTTAAATATGCTTTCCTGAGTGACTGTCCCTAAAATGGGAAGAACAAAGGCTGAAGACTTTTAAGTCTGTATTTGTAAAGTCTTTCCTGTGCGGCAGGAAAATGTGCTCCTAAGTGCACGAGTCACCATATTGCATAAATTCATTCCAGCTCTACAGCTTCAGGACCCAACCACCTTGACAGCACTGAGCATACATGTATCAGAAAGCCCAGGCTATCAATGACTTCAGACTCTGCTCGTATGAGTAATGCCATGCATGTAAGCTTTGCACAACCCACTTCCCTCCCCAAGGGCTCATCTCACAGAAAATTGCTCCCACTTGATGTGCAAACTGCAGAAGCTGCTGGAGGCTGTGCAGATGAAAGAAAGCTCTCTTAGTCTGCGTGAGTTCAGTTTGTTTGAACAAAGACTCGAGCAGAGTCATGCATACAACAGCCACATTCATTGGGATTGCATGTTGCAGGAACTGCTGAGGAGGTCCAACCAACACCTGGCTAACAGTACACCCAAAAGCCTGCACTTAAGGCCAAGGTAAGCAGTGGTCTGCAGGTTGAAGTAATGTAACTCCAGGAATGCTGCTCTGCTCTTGAAGTTACTCAGTTTAGAGTAAAGAAGCATTCCCAGGATCACACTACTTCCACCATGCCTTCCTCATGCCTTAGACCATGGTTCAAAGGGTATCAACACATGAAACAGAAGGCCAAGCAGCTCTCCCAAAATGCCTTCTTGAACTGCAAAGTTACAAGCTGAATTATGAACTTACTTTTTCTTAACACAGTACACAGTCAGTCCAATGGCTGTGAGAACTCCAGCCCCGGCCACCACAGCAAGTATGATTCCAAGGTCTGCAAACAGACAAGGAACAAAGACACTGAGCAAAAGAAGGAACACTCAGCTTTCTCCTAAAATCTGTCTGGGTTTGAACCCCTTCAAAAGCTTCTAAGCAGAACAGCTGCTGGCAGAGCAGCAGTTCCTAAGCCATGCTTGCCACAGGCCATTTCCAAGAGACTGGAGGCCAAGAAATAACAAACTCCTGCTACTGGCAGTGGAACGCAACCAAAAAACCCAACCAATCCACCCACCTCCAAGAGTTTTTGATACAGCTCATGCGCTGCTAAACTTACCCACAGCATCTCACACATCTCTGACTGAACAGGCAAGGAAGAGATAAAAGCGTAGAAAGAAACAGAGAAGGACTCAAAAGAAGAAACAGCAGCATTTCCACAGCTTCCCCTCAAAACCATACTTTCCTCTGAAATACACAGGTTGTGTTGACCTGGGGTTTTCTAGGAGTCATAAAATTGATTAGGAAAGTCCACGCATGAGCAAAGAAAATTGCTGCATGCTTTAAAAGAAGTATAGATTTTTTTGAAAAAAGAAAGAGAATATTAAAAAATTAGAAATTGCAAATGTGAAGCAAATTTACATAAGCAAAGCCTACCCTAAAAATGCCCCCTCATCTGTTTTTTAAAAACTGTTTATGTTTCAGGGAATGAAAGAGAACAAGAATGCAGAATTTGCTGCTAGCAGTCAGGGCCCAATCTCCATTAAATGGTCAGACCTGTCCTAGGGACGATTTCTTGCTCATGTGAACACTGAGACTAATTCAACTGCTAACATGAAGTGACGACTACTTTGATGAATAAGTTTGAATAATCAAGTCCCAAGTTGTTCACCAGGTCTGTGACCCTGGAAGGGAAAAACATCACTTGATCTTATTATATATTCTGTCTGCTACCTCCAATTAAAAAACCTAAATTATTTTTTTTTTTAAATGAAATCTAGTCTTACTACCCCTGATCCTTGCAATTTCTTGCGTCAATGAAAGAAAACCCCGAACCACACTTCCCACACCCCAAAAAACCACACCACATTAAAACCCCTCCTTCCTCCCCAGCTCCTAGAAATACCCAGCTGAAACTCTCAGAAGTTTTTGAGGGACAGACTTTGCCAAAGGCAGGAATCTCACAAACTACCTACATCCAAGGAGGACCATCATCCATTACTGTTACCCCAAGGGAAAGCAAGGAAACAAGCAGAAAACAAACCACCACAACCTTACAGGACTCACCTATCTGCTTGTCAGCCAAAGTCACCCAGAACTGCAAGACCAGCTGTGTCTTATCCACAGGTTTACAGTTGGAGACGTTCACCCAGAAGTTGTGGTGCATAATTCGGGGCTGGGGCAGGAGCTCGTCCTCGCGGCGCACGATCTCCTCTGCTCCCAGAGCCTCTTCCTTTATGTTGACAAAGGCACGGCCCGTCTCACAGGCAATGCCCATGCGGTCCTTGGAGAAGCCCAGGCGGGCAGTTTGCTTGTTGGGCACAATGATGAACCAGGATATGGAAACATAAGGAGGTAAACCATGAAGCCAGTTGGGAGTCTCCAAGTAAACTTTAGATTTTGGATTTGGACTCACGGTGAATGTGCACTCATCTGTAGCAAAGGGAAAGAAGAAAAAAAAATTTAAGTTTTGAAAATTACTGTCCTTTCCCACATCAGCATTATCACAATGAACACAGACATACCTGCAGGATTTACCACAATCAACTATCCACTACCTGGAATACAAAGCTCCTTCTCTCTTCCCAAAATAAGCCACGTCACTGGTTCAGATAAAGGCTGATTCTAGAGTCTAGTCCTAGAGCCATTTCTAAAGGATTGAACTCTTCATTTCTGTTTATCCATATGGGCTTTAATAAGCCTATTGAGAGATCTATCACTGTCCAACAAAGCAGTATAAAATCTACTACCTTACCTTTAATATGCGGCACAAAAGACATTTTCAGATCCTGAGGGACAGATTCATTGATGGATCCTTTACCAAATGTTTTTAAAGATATGGTAATATTATTCCTCATCTGAATCTTTTCAATAGATCCACCAGGACAGAATACACCAACATTCAGCTCCGTCTCTGGAGTGGCACTAACGATGCTGTAACTGTAGCTTGTGTTGCACCTCTGCCCTTGGACGTGCTGCTGAAGTTTCAAGGACGGAGATGTAATTTCTACATTGATCAGATCAGTAGCCAAGAGCTTCCAAATGAACATATGCAGTCGGATTGGCAATCGGGTAATAACCTTGGGCACTGAAAGGGAATAGATCTTCCTCTGACACCAACGAATATCCATACAGCCTGCAAAAGCAAAAACAAAGTCCCAGGAGTTGGGTATTTCTTGCAGAGGAAATACCTGGGCACACACAGACTACTATCTGCATTTGCATTACAGACCCAGATAAGCATCTGCCTAAGAAAATATCCTTTCTTAGTAACCTTTATCCAAATGTGTATTGTTTATATTTCAAGAGCTTTCCTTAACAGGTGCAGGACACCAAAGAAACAAATAGAAACATACTCAAAGGCCCTCACTCAAGATAGACCTGCTGACAGGGACACTGCTGCAGACTAGTCAAGGTATGGATACTTTAAATAATCTAAATAATCCCACAATTTGCAATGACTTAGGTGACTTCTATCTCTTCCCTTCTAGGAATAGCTACGTGGTTTCTATTCTTAAAGGCAGAATGATGTACTGAATAGATCACCTCCAGATCCACTGCACCCATCTCCCAGCTGGCCAACACCTGGTTTCCAACCTCAGCCCATTTAAAGCCAAAACAAGGGAGCAGGTTTGGCTGACCCCTAGGGAAAAACATGCAAAAGCATTCCCTAAGAAATAGGGAATATAATAGGAAAAGTAGCATTAAGCTACTTTTGTTGTACCTATGCCTTTTTCAGCCGTGATCCTCAGCCGGGACAAGTCCTTGCACAGAAAGGAGATCCTATAGACAGCACCAGAGGTTAAAGTCACGACACGGTCACAGGTGCGAGGATCCTTGCAGATCAGGCATATGGGTTCAGACATGAGGGGGCTCTGGCTGGGCCATCCTTCCAAGTGTATTTTCACAGTCATGTTCTTCTCCTTGCTCAGGTCGACCAAGTGGGTGACATCTGCAATGTAAAACACCCCAGAGCATTTATAGGCAAGAAGCACAATGTGAAGCAGAACTTCCTTCACCTCTTCTCACCCCATTATATGAGCACTTGGAACATCTGGAAGGAGAAAATGGGAAGAGAAAAAAAATGCAAGCATAGTTTATAAAGACTGACTGTCATGTGCAAAGATATATTTTGGATCTATGCATCATCCTGGTGCTGTTAATAAGGTGCCTCTCTGACGCCAAAGAAAGCCAGCTGGCCTGGTGGAAGTGTCCCTACCCATGGCAGGACATCCATTTGGAACTGGATGATCTTTAAGGTTCTTTCCAAACCATTCAATGACTCTACCAAGGACAGGAGGGGAAAATAGTGTACCTGTATACACACATACACACACATACTCTATTACTACTCTTCATTTTCTGGTTTTAGCTTTCGCTATGGATCTCAAAGTCATACAAAAAAGGTGAATAAAATAGCTTTCTCCTGTGTGGGAAATCAGGCAGACAAAAAGGCAAGTGGTCAAATGGAGTTATCCAAGTCATTGGCATAACCAAGCACGTAACCTAGGACTCCCAGAACAAGGTCATCATTTTTCAGAATGTTTATTCCTGCAGCAGCTAAACAAAGGAAAAGTTAAATTATTGTGACTGGAAAGAGCTATATTTTCTACTTACTTAATGACAAGCACCACAGACAGCTGTGGAATACCCAAATGTTTGGGAAGCTTTGAGAATATGCAGATACCAATGCATTTTTAATAAGAGCAGAGTTGCAGATGGCAACCTGAGGGCTGGATTTGAATCTTTGATAGAACTTATATAACTACAAAATCAATCATGAAATCCTATAAAATCCCTAGAGAAACCACTGTTGTCTCTTAAATCCAAGTGGTTTATTACTTGCATTTCATTCATGGAATGACAACCTGTTTTTAATTTTTTATGTGATTATTGTCTACTGGCCATAAATATATTAAAATTGTTTTTGCTTTCCAAAGAAGAAGGGAGATAAAGCTGATTAACTGAATACAATGTTTTCATTCTGTCTAGCTTCCAAGATGCAACACACAATAAATGTAAGCAAACGTGATTTTATTAACAACAATTCTGTGAGGATTTTCTGTTCAAAAATGGAGCCAGGTTAGACAGACAAAGAACAAAGAATTGTAACTGTGAGATGCGACAGATCCTTTCTGGACATGTGACTTCAGGGCACAAACCATTCAAACCTTATTCTCTCTGAAATTACTTAGAAAGCCTTTAAGTAGCTCCTGACACAGTGGCAGTCAAATGTGGACTTTCCTCTGCCTGCAGTGAGTGCACCTTGATTGTTAACTTCCACCTTGAACAGAGGTCACAGCTGCAAAGTCAGAGGCTAAATCACTAACTCCATGGCTCATTACCTAGACAGGCCCTTTACTTCTGTTTTTAGAGAAATGCTCTGGTATTACAAGTCATTGTGCTAAACAATCTGAATTTGGGGCTAGAAAACAACAAAAAAATTATTTCCTCAATATAGAGAAAGAGATGTAAAGACCATCAAAATATGTGGGGGATATTATTAGTGGAATATCTTACTGACAACATTTGTGTTTAATGTGACTTCTTCACACTTGTTGATGTTCAACCTCCTTTAGGAAGCAAAATAAAAATCCAAAGGGAAAAAAGGAAGGGAAGATGCATATTGATGCCATTAGCAACACAGAGACAATTTTACATCTCTCATTTTACCAGTTAATGCCACAGATCTTGCTACCTACTGTGACAGTGGGTTTCACCTTGTTAAGCACAACTGCTCATGTAGGGAACAAAAAACTGGGTTCGCGATTTAAGAATAATCTTTAAAACGTAGAGTTCATGTCCGAAAGCAAAACTGTTAAAGGCATTTTTCAATTATATGATTCAGGTGCTGTAAAGGGAAAGGAGTCTCCATTTATAAAGTACAGTGTAAAAAATACAGCAGCACTAAATACTCCATTGCAAATTGCAAATTTCAGCATTGCTGCTCGCCTTGCTGTACTGGTGGCCAGTGGTACCCCGGGCAGTAAAACATGCCTCAGCATTGCTTGGCAACCTTCTTAAACTCTTAGAGGGACCAAAGTTCAAGGAAAATAACAAAAAAAGTGTATTTCTCTTCCTTGCAGTGCTCAGTCCAGACATGTATATGCAAAAGCAACAAAAGGGGCAGGCAGGTACTTACTCTCATCAACCTGTGGGTGCTGAATAACGACTTGGAAGAGCAGGCGAAGAACGCCCGGGTTTTGGGCATCCTGATCACAGCCCTGCAGGGACATGTTGAAACTGCCAGCAACATTGGCAGGCTGGCTGTCGCTCAGCTTGAACACCTCCGGGTTGCTGGGGGAGCCGGGGATGTAGTACTCCACCCTCTCCTCCTTCCTTTCACAGTTGGACAGGCTGTAGTTGTGGAAGAACACGCTTGCTCTCAGGTTGGGAGGAATCACAAACTGCCACGTCATGAGCTCGTCTTCTGGAAAGCCCAGCGGGTAGTTAGGGGACATCAGGGTGATTGAAGACTCCCCCTTCAAAATGGATTCAATGATGCATAACCCTGAAACAGGGAAGGAACCACAATGTATAAAACAAGTTCCAGTTACTGAATACACTTCTAGTGCCCCAGAAGCAGAGGCTTTATTTTGACAGTGAGATCACCCACTCCAACTACAGGTTAGGCTATTACAAAATTCTCAGACTAAAACATATACTTGAGTTGATTCTTAAGTCTTCAATTACAGAAAAGATAAGGAATGTATTTATACTGCATTTTCAGTTTAGCAGTTTCAAGCACATGGACAGACAACCCTTTATTATTGGCAAAGGCAAGATCCTAATTCCTGCTTCTACATTTGGCTTTGCAAGAGCAAACACGCAACCTGATAACTGCTTCTGCTTCACTGGGTTTTGGGAAAGAAAAAATGCAAGCTTTTATAGCAGCATGTAGCTCTCTTCACAAAAGCCTCCTAAACTTAACAAAAGCACACCAGCAAAGAGCCTCAAATAGGTATAATAAAGCACAAATGTGAGCTCTGTAGGCTGTGTAAGACACTTTATCCTTGGATGACTCTTGGCAGTGTGAAGCTGGTACACAGAGATTATGGTCCCACTCTAGGACTCCAGTGATGATGTGCAGCTGTGAGGAGTGCCAGGAATTACAAACCACTCATGCTCTAGACGCTCAAACCTGGACCAGGTTTCTTTTATAACTGATAGCAACAACACTAGAATTCAAGTACAGAGCAAGATTTGTCATGAGATCACAAAGTAACCCACTGATTGCTGTATAATATTCCAGGAATTTCAGGAAGAAATTGTTATCACACAACAGTTTGTGTTACTGTGCAGGTTGAAACAGATAAATGTATTTATGCAGCCTCCTGAGCGTTCCAGGCATTGTTTCACCTTTTCCCACACTCCGCTCCTGAAGAAAGGCATTGGTTTGAGGCTCCAGAAGTTAAAGAAACTTTTTTTAAAAATAAACAAGCCAAGCTACACACTGCAACCAGCAAAATACTCTCTGGCTCATTCTAATTATGCTACCTAGTCTCACCTAGCGGAATGCATAAAAACAAGAAAACAAGTATGTTTAAGCTATAGGAAGTTTAAAGAGATTTGGAATTATTAATGTACACCAGAACCAGCAACAGAACAGTTTCCGTAACTAACAGTCGACCAAACTAGGATACTTTGACTCCAGAAGACCACCATCTAACCAAACGAAAAATCACACAAAATTAGTTTCCAGAAAAGATGAAGTGGAAGGGAGTTAGGGATAGCAGCACCAAAACTGGAAGGTTAGCCGTGAAGAAAGGTTGAAACAGATTCTGCTGCAATCTGCAGGAGCCAGTTGCACTACTCTGTACTCACGTTTTATGGAAGCCCTGTTGGCTATGTTGAAGCCTGAGGTGATGACAGGCGAGTGCCACGGGAGGTGCAGGGACATGACAACTCCTCCCAGCAGCTTGATACGAGACACGGAGCCATTCCTGCAGAAGGTGCCAATGTTGACCGTGGCCTTATCAATACTGCTGTTGATGTTGTAGCTAATGGAGTCTGGGCACATCTCTCCTGGTTCAATCTGCCTTAGCCATGGGGTAGAAAATTTTAGTTCAAGTCCAGATTTTGTACTTGCCTGCACGTCCCAGATGTAAGTCCTGTTAAGGCGAGGTAACCCCAGTGGGTAAAGATGAACATCTCCGTAGGGGCATGGGTGTGACACACAGTCTAAATGCAGAGAGAGAAGAGCTGTGATACACTCTGGAAAGCATTCCTTTAAATGGGGAGTTTGATACCTCCCCTTCCTTGCTATTACCACCTTTTTTAGGTTGCATTGCACTAAAAGACACTCCTGTAACCTGGTCACAGGTTGTCTCCAAACTGGACTCCCAGCCCATAGAATAGACAGGATAAACCTGCTTTAGTCAGGCTGACTAACAGAAGGGATTCATTGTCCCTAGTATTCCACCTTGTTTGCTGAAGAATTTAGAAGGTATTTAGTGAATAGGGAAGTGTCTGAATGGACAAAAGGGAGAAATGCAGTGTCAAGAGAGCTGGAAATCACAGATCTAGAGAATCCATTTTATCCCATGTCACCCAGAGAGTTCCTGGCAGATCATTCATCTTTAAATTTTTTACTGCTTGACACGAACTGTATTTTTGTTCCGTTGGTGCCCAGATGAACAACAACTGCCACTGCAGGATTCTGGGGGGAACTCAGAACACTTTTATTTGAAAAATCCAAACAACTGATTGACACTCAAAATAAGTATACTTTAATCCATGTCTAGGCTTCAACTTAAAAGAAGAAATATCACAAGTGTGCCTTGCAAATATATGAGATACAGTAAGTGTTACTCTCTGCATGAATAATATGAATAAAATTCCAAAAGATGAAGAGAATTATCCTTGAACATCACCCCAAAAATAATGAAGATGTACTAAAGACTGAATACCCAATGAAGTTTGGGATCTAGTTGAGAAGTAGCACGTGTTCATGCCATTAAAGAGTACACACAACAGGGATAACATTCAAAGCCGAAGAAGCTTTAGTTACACTTCTGAATTTACAGTTTCTTGACTTGAATAACATTCATTAAAGATAAAGAAACATGTGCAGGTCTTCAGTGTTTCTGCTGTCCTTATAGACATAACCAAGCTGTTCATCAAATATATAATATATTATTATAAGTGTTCAGAGGCTTTTGACAGGAACAAAAAGATTCTTTGATGGATTTATGAACTGTGGGTAAAGGAAAGGCAGCAAGGAATTGATGCAGCAAACTGCCTTCTAGCTGTTTCCAACACAGCCAATTTGACATTAATTCTGCCAGCTGCAACACAGACTTCAGCCTGCATAGCAGCAGCAGTCATTCAAGGTTATTTATCAGTGCTCAAAGATTTCTTCTTACCTAAGATTATGGCAGATACCTTAATACAGCAGCAGAAAAAAACAAAACACATGGTTTTACTGGAGGAAAACTACCACTGCAGAAAAATTAAAAATTTGTATCTTACCAATATTTTTCTTAATTTCCATGATGAAATACTTCTCTGGAGTACTACAGGTAAAGGTAAAAGTCACATTATCCCCAGGTTTTATCTTGAGTTCAGACATGATGACATATTTCACGCGGATTCGACAGCTTGGTGAAAGACTGTGTCCCAGTTTAATCGTAACTGTGGTATTGTCCTCTTTATGAAGAGACATTGTAAATGAAGCTAAGAAAAAAAAAAATACATAAAACAGAGGTGTTTTGTTATTAGCACATATGAATAACACCAGGCTCTCCACACAGCCCCACAGTGTCCAAAGGTATATTAGCATCCACATTCTCAGGAGCCTCTGGTGTTGTACCAATAAAAAATGCCTCCCCCCTTCCAGCACAAACAACATAAAAATATGCTTGCTACATGTGCCCAGGAGAGGTATACAAGGAATTTGTGCAGAATCAGTTCTGCTCCAGTTTACCCTCACCAGTGTCATTTATTTCACATTTAAAAAGTAGTTCAGCTATTCCTGTCAAATTTTTGTTCCCCTGATTTTTGTTTTCAATTTGTTATCACACAGCCTGCTTCATTTCTGCAGGCACCCATCAAGTCACGACTCAATTCAGGAAGTTTATTCAGCAGCCAAACAAAAAAACTAGCTTCAACTTTAACCACAGACAATGGTAACAGATGACTTTCTGGGTATACCTCTACAATTACTGCAGGCCAGACAAGGTATTCCAGCAATACCAGAAGCACGTACCAACAGATATTTTTAGGTGCAGTCACGGCCCTCTCCCACCCTCTCCACCCTTCACAACTCATTCCCTGAAGGTGCTCTGTTTGCACAGGATGCCTGTGCAGTTCCCCCCACCAGCACAGAAGGCATCTGTGGCCTGAAACATACTGCATGTGCTTGGATACCTCCTCTCCATCTCTGACACAACCATCACTGATTCACAGCTTTTGGGAAACACTTCACAGATTTCAACCTATCTTCAAGTACTGCCAGATGCAGGAGCAGCTCTCACAGGAAATACTGGAGGCACTGAATAAACTGCTTGTTGAATAATCTTTTATTTTATGAGTAGCAGTTTATCAAAAAAATGACTCAAACCTGATTGTCTTCTAAAAATATACACACGATATAAGGCACCAGAGAGTACTGACTAGACATTCAAGATGACTATTATTAAACTTCAGTTGCATGCTTAGCAAATAATGAGGCCAGCCCTAGCTGAAATAAGTTGAGTTTGCAGAGAAGTCAACCATAACCCAGCCCCAGGTGAAAATTTGAGGACAGGACAGACAGTAAGTTTTCTGCTACTTGTTTTCATTATTCTCCATTTCTTATTTAAGTGTATGGAAGATAGAATCACAGGGTGGGTCTACAGCACTTGTGCTTTTAGTGTATAAGAGAAAATAATCATGCATATAAAAAATAGTAAGATAATAAGAGATCTAGAAATAAAGGTACCCCAAGTTCTGTTCAAAAACATCTCTGCCTGGAGTGGGACATCACACAGGGCTGCATGACAAAGCTGTGCCCATATGCCAGGTTGGGAATCCTCATGTTCGTTAACCTCAATGAAAAAAGATTTACAAGCTGGCAAACCCAGCAGAGCAGCACCCTGAGGGAGTCCCTGAAGCCATTCCAATTACCAGGCAGCAGCCAGGAAGGTGTAGGAGAACATCTGGCTCACACACACCTGCATAATGCCCCAGGCTCTGTCCAACTGCTCAGCATCCCTCGAGCTCCAGTTTGGTCCACACCAGCTGCTGCTGGTGCAGGGGTGATAAGGATGCTGGTCAGAGGCCAGACATGCAGGGGTTCACCCGGTGGGGTTGTGGGAACCAGGGCTGAACACACCTTGGGAACCCTTGATTGGCAGCACCCTCTAATGGCATATGAGCACACCAGAGACCCTCAACAAACATACCCACCCAGCTCAAAACTTCAGTCATCACAGCTGCTGAAAGCAGCTTATTGCATTAGTGACTCCATTTCACACAAAATCCATCTGTTCTATTGAAAAGACGTTTAAAAACCTCCTAATTTTTAAAGGAATCCCATGGTTTTGCAGGGCCTGACTTTCACTGCAATGCTTTGCAAGAGCCCTGGGAACTGTGTGTCAGTGTGGTCGGTCCCTGCCACTGGAAACATTGCGGCTCCAGGTTTGCCAATGCCAGGCATCAAAAATCCCACTGCTAAGGGGAGTAGGGCAGAATAGAGTACTCAAAGACACACCCCATCATTGTGTTTATCTGAGTTTTGCGGCTCTTGAGCCTTTCTGCAGCCTTTCTAGCTTTTCTACACAATCTTGGAGTCAAAAGACTTAACAAGTACTTGAAACTGCCTTACTTATTTGCTTCCAGGATCAAAGGTTTTAAATGAAAATCTCAACCATCACAAGGCTTGCCAAACTGCAGCACATATTTTTAACATATTTTTAACACAAGTTTACCAACCCTCAAATACCATCAGTGAGTACCTGGTCACTGAGTAACTTTTCTACAGCTTTTAAGCGACAGGACAGCTCTCTGACCTGAGAATTCTCCTACCTCTTCCAATGGCTCGCACACCTTACATCTGTGTTTCTGCCTTAGAAATGCTTTTGCAGAGGTTTTCAATATGGATTTTCCTGAGGAAGTAAAAAAGATGATGGTGTAGCCTGGGAACTGCCTGTACAACGACCTTCCAAGCACCCTCCAAGGGGACAATCGCAGGGGCAATGTCCATGGGGTGGGGAAAAGAAGAGAACAAAGCCAAGCAAGCAGTCAGTGCTGCTCTTCCTCATTCTCCAGGAGGAAGCAGTCTCCAGAAGAGAAAATGAAACAACTATTTCCAACCTAGCCCCGAGTTCTATTTCCCATACCTCTGGATTGTTTTTGGGTTCTCTTGTTTTTATTTACAACACTTAGTGCACAAAATACCTTTGACCATGTTGGTCATAATTTTTCTGATGTATAAGTCATCCAGATATGAAGTGTTAATAGCATAAATCAAATAATTAATAACTACAGACAAAAGACATTTCTTTCTTGCATATGGTAATTGTAGTACTTATAAGTTTATAAGTATTACTGAAAAGTCTGTTTCTAACTCTCTGGTCAAACAGTTCCTGTCCCCATCCCTGGGACAGCACAGCCATATGGCCAACCTGGCAGGACAGACACCAGGACCACCAACAGCCAGCTCTCCTACACCACATGCTGGCACAAGGCTCTAATTTTCAGTCATAAGGATTAAGTTTAAGCATAGCCTTAAGCACATGACTAGTTTTAAATCAAACAAATACACACGCTGAGTAAAAACCGAAAACCAGAAATTTTCCACATTTTGAAATGTGCAAAGCATTCCTACAAGGGTCAAAACAAAGTATCTCCTGCCCCAGTCCTTGAAAGACCCAAATTCTGCTGCCTGGGCTTTTTTTCCCCTCTTTCCCCCTCCTCTTGATGACTTCATGACCATATAATCATTCATTTGTCAGCTAAATATTGTTTTTCAGCATAGACTTATTCCATTCCTCAGCTTTCCTAAACAGGACCTGCCCAAAATCACAGAAATGTTTTCAATGATCAATGTATCATCACAGCAGTAAGCAAGAAGGATGCAGACACCAAATTAGGCCAGAAAAGTTGCCTGCTAGAAGCCCACACGAGAACATGCACTTTCAGTGCATAAACAGCTTGCACAGATGAAAACCCACAGATAATAATTTTGGCCAAGAAATCAGAGCGTGGTGCTGTAATGCCAACAGCAGCCAGCTGCTAGGGATGTTCTAAGCTGCATTAGACTATCAAATCTAATGGGAAAAGCAGAATAAAAGAATCAGGTGGGAAGTATATGCAGTGATCCCAAAGTCACTAAAAATAAATGAACAAATGGCTAAAAATCCCCAAACTACAGCCACACATGAGCAGTACAATAGACTACTTAAAGACCACCTTTATTGGAGAGTTTTCATAAACACAAGTGAGTCTCCTCGTGACTCACACTAATCTGTCTTTGTCTGTGACTCCCACTGCATGCCTCTTTATTAGGATTACCAGTAACTGGACACGTTTCTTGAAAAGAAGCAATTTCCATGCCTTATTGCTGCTGCATAGGGATGACACACAGGATATCCAAATCAACATGAGGAAGCATTGCCAGGCTGGATCTCATCTCTGTCTATACAACAATGAAATCTTTCAGGTAGAAAATGTTAGAGGTAAAGCCTCCAGTGCTGAGCTGGTTCATAGCTGATGCAGACAGCTGATCTCACCCTATTCTTTTTTCCTGTGAGCAATTACAGTTTTGCAGCCTCCCTTGGATATCTCATCAACTGCCCTAATCTCAACCTACACCCTCCCTTCCACAACTGGATTTTTCTACTGCTCTCCATTTCAGAACATGCCTTCATGAGAGCTGTCCCATCACAGCAGCCCTCTAGCACTAGAGTAATGTCCCTCTCTGCACAAACACAGCTTTTTCTTAACAGTATGATATTTCCAAACTTCTATGTTAGTGCTCAGAACTCTCCCACTGGGGTTAGAAGTCAACTGCATAGTATAAAACAAGTTCAATCATTCCAGAATGTTGAGCCTGAATTTATTTTCTGTATTTGCATCTGACAATCTCATAGTAATTTTAACATGTGTATATATATATATATAAATGTCAATAGGACATTTTTCTTGTATAAGAGGGAGAGCAGTGTAGAAGGCAGCTGGCGAATAGTCAGGGCAGTAGCACTCACACGGAGCATGTGTACATAAACACAAGCAAAGGACTTGGCAGAACAGCAATTTTTATGGCTATGTAAAGTGCCTTGCTACACAAAGCAGGAGCTAGAACAGAGTCCAACTAGTTTTGGCTTGACAGCTGCATTTTATTGCAGTAATTTACCCATAAGGATCTATGGATTGTTCCACACGACTTGACTGGATGGATTAAAGCAATCAAAAAAGCCCCAGACACACCAAGAAAACAAAACATCCAAGGAAATCCCAGATGTTCATTTATCCCAGCACTATGTACAAAAGCTGTTGGTTTGCTCATTCCGGTCAAATCACGGGCTTGTTCCATGACAGCCTTTTTTACCGAAACCCAGTTGGATGGGGCTGACTCAGGCACCATTCATGAGCTGGAGGAGCTGGGCTGCTGCGCAAGACGAGCAGCAGCAACTTGCTTTATTATGAAATATCCCTACCTAAACCCCTGTTCTGCCCCAGGGGGATCTGAACCCACACAACCAACACGCCTCTCCAGAGAGCAGGCTCATTCCCTGCAGTGTACAGTGCCACCAGCTTGGGACAAGGATAGCACAGGGATGCTGTTTGCCTCTACAGCTTGGGAGGCTTTCCTGAAGGCTCACTGCCTCTTCTGACCCCTTGCAGGGATGCTGACCTGCAGGAACACTCAGAGCCCACTGAGGTTATTCCTCTATGCATAATCTCCTGCAAAATTTGTCACAAGAGGGTGGGATGCCTGGGGTATAACACAGCAACTCAGTGTGGTAGTGCATCACCTCCAACACAATTCCCTCCATAGTTCACTCAAATTGGCCAAAACACATCAAGGAATATTTGAAAGGGTAAACATCTCCCTGCTTTGCCAACTCAGTTGTTTTGCACCTGTCTTACTAACATCTTTGACAACCTGAGTCCAGGTCTCCAGTTCAACTGCAGCACCCAATTGCCCAAGTATCATCCACCCCTCCAGTCTCACCTGTAATGTAATCAGGGTGACTGCATTCACAGTCTTCAAGCCCTTAGCTAAGTTAGTCAGGGACCCATACACTGTTTGGACTCCTCTCACCTCCTGAACAGTGCTGTGAGCAGCCAAAGAGAGATCACAAGTACTATCACAACGTAGAGCCAACCCTTCCTAATTTAATTGTAAACTACCCTCTACATTACATTATTATCTCCCCTATTTGGACCTGTCTTCCACCACCACACTTGTCTGAGATGCGAGGTCCACATTTTGTGAAAGGATTACTTTCAGGGAATCACCCAGAAAATTACAGTGATAAAATCGGCAAAGCTTGTAAACTCTTAAGAGACAGATGCTGACAACTGCTATTATGCCATGGTTACCACACCTCAGGAGGGGGCACCTGGGGGAGAATACCCATTCCTCAGCCATCACAGAACAGCACCCTGATCTTCACTGATTGTTTGAACTGATAGCCAGGATGGGGATGCAAAGCAGGTGAGATATCATGAATTTTCCTCCTCATCAGGGAGGAAGGGTAGACACTTCTGGAATAGTGATGTTACAAGCCATTTCAGCACAGCTCACCAGAGATCTGTCATCACCCCAGACCAATAAGGTTGCTCACTCAAAAGATGTTAATTTGTAATGCCTAGCATGAATAAAGTACCTCCAGATTGAAAATAACTGATAAAAACCCCCAACAACTATACATTTCTGTACTTATATTGCTTTCTCTAGAACCCTTTTGGAAGACAACTAAAACACTCACATAACTCATGCAGATTTTTTAAAAGCAGCTTTTTTCACTGCAAGTGGGAAAGAGACACTGTTGACTCTCAGCTGCCTTTTCCTAATTATTATTTTACAGATATGAAGTGCTGTTCCTTCTGTAGAGGTGAGATGTCAGCAAACACTGTCTATGAGCTGACCACCAGCATACAATCTATAAAATGTTTAACACGTGGGTTTGCACAGCTTGAGGAGAAAATGTCACACTGGCTCGAGGAACGTTGACACCACACAGGTCCCTGCAGGAGCCTCCCTTGATCAAAGGGATGTTTGCTTGCATAGTTTTTATCCCTACCTTGATATAAGCCAGCAAGAGGACAACATCTCAGAGCATGTCTGAGCAGCTCTTCAGTCTTGGCTCTGGTTCACAAAGGTGTAAAAGCACATTTCGCAATCAGGGATCCCTCCCATGCCAAACATCCTGCCATCAGCTCTTAGTTTCTCACTTCTGAGGAGCTTCAGATAATCTCTTTCCACTCCTCAAAGCTTGCTCTCTCTGTCTCACAGCCAGGTACTCAAAAAATCCAGGGCCAAGTCCAAAATGCCAGCATTATCCTACCTTCCAAAATAAGAGTTTGATCTGACATCACTTAACCACACTCTATCCCCCAAGAAATCCAAAGGCACAGCTCAAAGCAGGCTGCCCCATGGCACCCTAGTGGATGTTTGTTAAAAGGTGTCCAATAGAACAGGCAGAGACCTCCTGTACAGGAGACAGATTTAAAAAAAAAAATAAAAAAAAATCACTTTTTCCACAGCAATGGCAGCTCAGGCACTCATAAGCAGACCAGATCTTACTAACATACTTGAAATGCATTTCTACTGGACACTATGGCACAATTCTTCAGCTGAAGGTCTTCCTGAAAGTCTTCCAGGATGTTCCATTAATACTATCCACATCAGGCAGGCTCAGCTGCAGGTAGCAAACCCTCACCTCAGCAGCCAATACAGAAACTCAAGATGTTGCTCTGACACAAAAGCCAGCAGCCAATAATTTATAAGTGCAGCCCAGCCCACGTCCTTTCCTTCACATCCTGGTGGCACAAGCAGATGTGACGCAAGAAGCAACTGTATGGTAACATCGGCAAGAGATTCGAGAAGTTTACAAATCAAGGGATGGTGACCCAGCTCTATTGGCTGAATCCTACTAAGAAAAGCACCAAAAATCAGCAACTGCTCTTCAGGAACTGGTTAATGGATTGGTTCCAACAAGCCAACCCCTGCTGCAGTGGGTGTGTTGTCCTTTCCAGAGCCGAGGTTTGATGGAGACACCTGAGCAGCACCAGTGAGTTGGATGCTGTCCCAGAAACTGCTGAAAGTGCTTTGTTAAAGTGGTATTTTTAGTCTTTCCCCAGTTGGGCAACGGTTTATAAATTACAGAAATTATTAAAGGTGCAGATTTTAAAAAATATTTTAACAGAAGCTTACAAGAGCAGTCCAAAAAAGAGTTC